ATATCGGCTGCAAATTTTGCAATGGGCAGCACGAACGTGCTTCGGCGTCATACTGGTAGTGTAGTAGCAGTCTTACGACATACAAACAAAATTTCAAAGACAGCAGCAATGAATCGGCAGTTTGACGAACTGCTTGTTGTATGTACGAGGAACGTTACGAAATACCATCCGAGGCTGTCATAGCCGAACGAACAAAATACATGACTAAGAACGAGCTGTCGTGTACTGCACAAGACGGCAACGTTGCATGTCGTATAACAGCCTCACTGTGGGCTGTCGCTTATAGCTCAATCTCAAGGCTGTCGTAGGAAAAAGAAAGCGACAGCCGTTGAAATACTGTCATGAGGCGGTACTTTTGGTATGCCTGGATGCTCCCCTTATATGCAAAAAGCAATAAAGGCGGAGGTAGAGAGGTTCACAGCGTTGGATGATATATAAGAGTGCTATAGCGAATTGAACAATCCCTCGTACCGATTCCTAAAAAGAACTGTAAAGTGCGCGTATGCCTAGATTGTAGAAAAAAATAAACAAACTGTCGGTGAAGTACTCATACCCAATGATTAATATGGGGGACATATTTCGTCGATTAGGGCAAGCGAAGTACTTTTCGGTCGTAGACTTAAAAGACGCCTACATTCAAATACCTCTAAATAAGAAGACTCGAAGGTGTATTCCATTTTAAGGTATTGCCATTCGGAGTGATCAACGCACCGTTCACTAATGCACAGAGCTCTTGGTTTCGATCTCGAACCGAGAGTCTTCGTTTATCTCGACGATATAGTCATCGCGTCAGAAACGTTGGAGGAGCACTTGAGACTGCTACGGATAGTAGGAGAACGTTTAAAAAGAGCTGGACTGACAATTTCGTTGGAAAAATCGCGAACCTGTAGGAAACAGGTGATGTACTTAGGGTACCTACTCAACGAACACGGGGTGGCGATTGACAGTAGTCATCTCCAACCAATCTTAGACTATGCCAGACCGAAGACACAGGAAGACATTCGGCGTCTGATGGGCCTGGCAGGCTTTTACCAGCGCTTTATTAAGAATTACAGTAAGGTTACGGCACCAATAACCGACCTGATAATCAAAGAAACAGTGGCGTCGCATAACCTCATTTTTACCCATCTATCCATTACAAGCAATATTTTGATAATTGTTTATGTTTTGAGAGTTGATACACAGGTAGATTGAGATTAATGCGACGCCACTGCAAAAACAACAAAAGATTCACCTGGTCTAAGAAAGCAGAAGATGCGTTCAGATAACTGAAGTCGATTCTGACAGCAATACCGATTTTGGGAAATCCATATTTTGGCAAGATATTTATCATCGTGAAACCCGGATTAGTAGTTACTTTAGTAAAAAACTGAATCGAACCCAAAGACGATACTCAGCGGTCGAGAAAGAATGCCTCGGGGTATTGTCTGCGATCCAACGTTTCCGGCACTATATCAAAGGAACCAAATTCCAAGGAGTGACGGACCCGAGAAGTAGGGCCCCACAAAGTCACTTTCAATCGAAAATCTTCAAGTGACGTCAACATCAACAGAACCACTTTCGATCGGTTTTCATGCTGTTTGTTTTGGCTTGACTCGTGTTCAATTCTTCTTTCATTGTCAAATGAACTTACTTTTGCATTGAAGCGAAGCTGTTTGATCCAAATTCGCGCAGTTTTTATGACTTTTGTTGATTGTTCACTCGGTTCATTTGAACCAAAATCTGTGCACGTGGATGTCAAATTTATCATTGTCGGGTGGTTTGTTTACCCGTCAATATGGGTATTTGTTTAATCGGGGTGACGTCTAGCGATCGAAAATTGAAATGCGACGCCATTTTGACATCCAAGATGGTGGCTTCCAGTTTAAGGTGATACTCTAAGGAAGCCTTAGCGTGAAACTTCAAAGGCACAAATGTCAGCTTCCACAAAACATACAAGTTTGAAATTGCTACTCCTTGTTTGCTGTGCTACTACAAACAGAGAGTAGCAATTTCAAATTTGTATGTTTTGTGGAAGCTGACAGTTGTGCCTTTGAAGTTTCACGCTAAGGCTTCCTTAGAGTATCACCTTAAGAAAAAGTGGGAAATGCTGTCAAATACTTATCAATAAAGGTATTTTTGGAATCGGGATAATGTCTAGAGGATGAAAATCGATATCCGACGCCATTTTGAAATCGAAGATGATGGCTTCCGATTTACGAAAAAGTGGAAATACCGTATTTTTGTAATCGGTATGAAGTCTACAGATCGAAAATTGATATCCGACGCCATTTTGAAATTCAAGATGACGGCTTCCGATTTCAGAACAAGTGGGAAATATTGTCAAATACCCATCAATATAGGTATTTTTGGAACCGCGATGACGTCTAGAGGCCGGAAATCGATATCCGACGCCATTTTGAAATCCAATATGACGGCTTCCTATTTCAGAAAAAATGGGAAATGCTGATGCCGTCCCATCAATATGGGTATTTTTGGAATCGGGGTGACGTCTGGAGATTGGAAATCAGTATCCAACGCCATTTTGTAATCCATCAAATACCCATACCCATAATCCATCAAATACCCATACAAACTAACCATATTGTAGGGCATTTGACACCTTTTCTGAAACTCATGGACGCCATATTGTAGTCCAACATAGCATCGGATATCGATTTTCGACAGCCACGCGTTGTCTCCGTTCCGAAAATACCCATATCTTAGGGTATTTTAACGTTTTAGGAAACTTGATGGCCGCCATTTTGGATTCCAAAATAACGTCGAATATCGATTTTCCACACCTTCATGTCGTCCTCGTTTCGAAAATACCGATATTGTGGGGTATTTGAGACTTTCCCTGACTCCGATGGCCGCCATCTTGGAGTCCAGAATGGCCTCGTTAATTTAATTTGTTCAATATAAAATAATATATTATTACTACACCCAATCTGGATGCCTTCCCTATCGGCAACCTATATTGTGCGGATACTATCCGGATACTATATTCTGATGCCTGCGTCGTCAGGTCGTGACAAGTCGAATGAGCTCCGAATTGAAGTGAAAGTGGAAAAAACGAAGGAAGCAGTGTTCGAGTCATTCATTGCGTCAATTGAAACAAGTCTTTGCTTCAAATGAAATGAACTGAAGCACTCGACGAACGAAACAAGTGATAGTCCTGTTTGAAAAGAGGAATGTTCATCGTGACTCGATAACAAGAAACACGATGACTTACATGAAAATGATGTTGCTCGACATGAAGCGATTCTGTGGAGAGTTCATTTTCTTATCTTTGTTTCGAAAATGCAGAACCCTGGCGAGAAGTCTTCTGTGGCTGTTTAACATCGGAGCTGAAACGGGGAACGCCAAGCTCATGCGAAGGGCGCTGAGAATTCAGGCTTATGATTTTGATCTGGAGTATCGTAAAGGCAAATGCAGCATAACGACAGACTGCTTTTCGAGGTCGATAGAGGTGGACGTGATAACCGTATCACAATCCGACCTCGCATACGAAGATCTGAAGAATTCGTCAGGAACCGCTGAAGTTCCAGGATTACGTTCAAATTTGGCATAGTTTTTGGGGACCTGGTGGATGTGATGCGCCATACAAACTTGACCCACCCTAATGTACACACTTCCACGTCATGCTCATCTTGTGTAAGGTACTTAGTATCCTCACCTCAAAGCTTAGTGTGTTCTGTTGGCCTCTATATAATGGGCCAAAAACCTCCAATAACCTTCAACCCACATCAACAGAAGTAGCAGGAACAGGAACAGGAAACTCTCAATCCAATTTAGAATCCAAAACCTTTAGATCTTCCGCTTCACCCAATAGTCAGTCCAATCGTTTACCGCCATCAGTCAGTCTCGTTCGTAACACAACTTCCAACTACCAAATCATTTCACTTTCACTCTCACGTGGAAGCTAACAACGGGCTTGCGCTCCATTGAAGGTAGACGGAGAAGGCGTCAGAAGCGCACAACCGAAAAAAACCGATTCCGATTCCGGCTTCAAGCCAAATAGCCTTCTTAATTATTTCATTACGAACCAATTTTTCTACTGCTTCTGGTTGCTTCCTCCCCCCCCCCTGCTTCCAGCTTAAATGCTTATTACCGGACTGTTGTGTTGTGTTTTCGGTTGCTTCATTTGCCTTCGTCTAGAGTATTTAAGTTGAATCGATTCTCCAGCTTACAGTATGGCTTGATCCGGTAGCAAACAGGCAGGGGTTCCTTCATGGCCGGTCATCTGCCCAAAAGTAGTCGCTAAATGGATTCCGTCATGAGTTGAAAGAAAAACCCTTTTTCGGCTTCGGTTTTTGGTGTGATGCAATCCGGCAGCCATGGGAAACCAGCCACCAATTTGAAGCTGATGGAAAACCATCGAATCGGCATGAAGGCTTCAGGGGCTGAAATCGAAAGTACTGCACCGGTCTGTCTGACTGGCTGTCCGCGTCTCGCTGGAGGGCAATTAATTCGGTAAATGAAATGCATGGAATGATGATGATGGAAATTAATGAAAAACCGAACAGCGCTTTTTGAATTAGGAATTCACCAGAGGAGGAACTGTGGGCAAATTGATCTGATTGATCCGTCATTGTCGGTAGGTTTCACTGCTGTTCTTGAGCCGTTGTTCGTTCAAACCTTGAAGGGGTTTTCGAAACAGAAATCTGTTAGGCAAAAACGGATTGATCAATTTGCCACCCGAACAAAAATTCCAACAATATTTTCGGCAATTCAAATTGTTATAAAGTTTCGAATTCCGGACATGGCAACTCCTTTAATTGAGTTAATGGTTTGCCTTGAATCTTTGAAAGAACTCCCAACCGACGAACGAAAGAAAACTCACCTGAGGTGAAGAGCATCCTTTCAGCGTTGATCGCTTTTTGCGGCCTAATTGAATTTGTTGCAAATTGAAACACTTCTCCCTCCGGGCAGGGTCGGGTTCTTCCCTCTAAGCACCACCCACCTAACTACTTTATACTAATGTAACTTTTCATCTCCGGTTTTTCCGACTTTTGCAGATTTTGTTCCATTGGCAATCTTCGAGAGAGAAGCTCCTTGGAAACTTCCACCTCTTCGAGCAAGCCGAGCGAATGCCATCCGGGAAGCTGTGGCTCGTTGAAAGGATAATGCCAATAAAATAATTGCCTTGGAGGCGTGGAGAAAGCAAAAGAAAAACGCCCAGGAAGAAGCTGCCGGCAAACTGTGGCCGAACAGTGGTAGCGGGGGTCGTCCGGTAAGGAGGAAGCACCATTCCCTCACCAAAATGACACTGCACTGGTGGAAGCACTGGTTCTGGATTACCGTGTGTGGAGGTGAGTATCGTGGGTGAACCAGGGATGCCAGCTTTGCTGAAATTTATGGAAAGTCGTCGGAATTGAAATTAAAGAACATGACAGTAAACTTCAAATTACATTAATTTGCTACAGAGTACCAATAGAGGTTTTGCTAGATTCCAGGGTCACTCTGAAGGCTTTTCCGTTTCTGGAGGATGCTACAATGTTCTTTTGGAGGTTCCTCCAGGGTACCTTTTGAAGAATTTCTCTAAAGTTCTTCAGAAAATTTCCTACTGATTTTCTATATCAGTTCCTTAAGATTCCCTTTGCAGATTCCTACTTATTTCATCTGGTAAATCAACCAGAGATTCCTCCAGATCCCCTTCCTCAGATTGATTCCAGAATTTTCACTAAATTTACTTTGGAGTTTTGTCCAAAATCCATCCATAGGCTACTGAGATGAACCAGTCTGTGGCTAAATGTCTCCTAAATAACGATAACCTAACCTAATTTCAAAAGGATTCTCCAGATGAATCATCCGGAGGTACCTTCTGATGCCTCCATGCTATTTCGGGAGGATTCTTCTCATCACCTCTGAAGAACACTCCAGATTCACTCACGTGATTCATCCAAATTCCTGAAGATTCCTTCGGATTCCCTATTTAGATACCTCCAGATTTAGTCTGGAGGTTTCTGGAGAATCCTTCTTGATAGTCCTCCGAATTGGGCTTGGTGGTACGTTCTGTATATCCCAAGAGATTCCTTCCACAGATTTCCTATGGAGTTTCTCTCTGAATCCACTCAAGAGTAGTGTTTTGGAATCGGAAATGTTTTCGGAATCGGAAAATATTTTCATCCAGCGACCAGATATAATTTTTGACTGTTATTTATTGGACTTAGACTTGTGCCGGTCGACTTATGAAGCATAAAACATATTTGCATAAATTTCCCCCATATATTTTTCATGAATCGCTCTGGTTTCCCCCAGAATATTTTTCCGACATCTTCTGGAATGTTTTTCCAACTTCCCCTTGAAGATTTTGACCGACTTTTAGGAAGTATTTTTATGATTTCTCTCTGAACTTTTGTCTGACTTTGCTCGGAAGTTTCTTCCAACATCTCCCGGAAGTTTGTTCCAATTTTCCCTGGAAAAATCTTCTCTCTTTCCCCGAAAGTTTCTTCAAACTGGCTTTTTCTGGTAAATGTAAATTTGGTAATTTTTTGGACTATAGTAATTTTTAGTAAAAATTAAAGTTTATCAAGATTTCCATTTCTACCAATTCATTTCCTGGGACTACTCAAAAGGTTCCTCCAGATTCCACATGGAATTTTCTTTGGAGATTCCTCCAGATTGCTTCTATTCGTTCCTCCACGTTCGATGTAGAGGTTCTTCCAGATTCTACTTACTTCCATAGAATGTTTCTCCAGAACCCCTCTACATGCTTTTGCAAATTACTTCTGGAGGTCCTAAAAATTGACTCTGTAGTTACATCCAGATTGCCACTGGAGGTTCCTCCAGATTGCCTCTGGAGGTTCCTCCAGATTGCCTATGGAGGTTCCTTCTGGTTAACTCTGGAGGTGCCTCCAGATTGCTAGAGGCTTTTGCAGTATCTCTAGAGGTTCCTAGAAATGTCCACTGGATACTACTCAATTTTCCCTTTGCGCGTTCCGGCAAATTGCTTTTGAAGTTTCATCCAGATTGCCTGTAGAGGCTTCTTCACATTTCCTCTGGAGTTTTTCTCAGAGTGCTTATAGAGAATCCTCCAGATTGCCTCTCGAGGTTCTCCAGAGTGCCTCTAGAGGTCCCTAGAAATTTATACAGAATGCTTCTCAATTTTCCCTTTTGACGCTTCGGTAGATTGCTTTTGAAGTTTTATCCAGATTGCATCTGGAATTTCCCCCAGATTGCACCTAGAAGTTACTCCAGATTGCATCTGGAAGTTCCTCCAGATTGCATCTGGTAGTTCCTCCAGATTGCATCTGATAGTTCCTCCATATTGCATCTGGAAGTTCCTCCAGATTGCTTCTGGAGGTTCCTCCAGATTGCCTCCGGAGGTTCCTTCAGATTGCCTTTGGTAGTTATTCCAGGTTGCCTCTGGAGGTTCCTTCATATTTCCTCTGAAGGTTCCTACAGATTGCCTCTGGAGTTTCCTTCAAATTGCCTCTGGAAGTTCCTCCAGATTGCCTCTGGAAGTTCCTTCAGATTTCCTTGAGTTTCCTCAAGAATGCTTTTAGAGGTTCCTTCTGGTTAACTCTGGAGTATCCTTCAAATTGCCTCTGGGAGTTCCTCCAGATTGCTTCTGGAGGTTGCTCCAGATTGCCTCTGGATGTTCCTCCAGATTGCCTTTGGACGTTCCTCCAGATTACCTCTGGAGGTTTTTCAGAGAACCTCTAGAGGTTCCTAAAAATGTCTGCTGGATACTACTCAATTTTCCCTCAGCACGTTCCGGCGAATTGCTTTTGAAGTTTCATCCATATTGCCTCTAGAGGTTCCTCCAGATTGCCTATGTAGGTTCCTTCTGGGTCTGTGGATGGCTTCTAGAGGCTTCTTCACATTGCCTCTGGAGGTTTCTCTCCAGAGTAAGTTGTCTCTAGTCAGAGTGTCTCTAGAAGTTCCTAGAAATTTATTCAGGATGCTTCTCTATTTTCCCTTTAGACGCTCCGGCCGATTGCTTTTGAAGTTTCATCCAGATTGCCTCCGGAGGTTTCTTCAGATTTCCTCTGGTAGTTACTACAGGTTGCCTCTGGAGGTTCCTCCAGATTTCCTCTGGAGATTCCTACAGAATTCCTCTGGCGGTTCCTACAGATTGCCTCTGGAGTTTCCTCCAAATTGCCTCTGGAAGTTCCTCCAGATTGCCTCGGAAAGTTCCTTCAGATTTCCTTGAGGTTCCTCAAGAATGCTTTAAGAGGTTCCTTCTGGTTAACTATGGAGTATCCTCCAAATTGCCTCTGAGGATTCCTCCAGATTGCTTCTGGAGGTTGCTCCAGATTGCCTCTGGATGTTCCTCCAGATTGCCTTTGGACGTTCCTCCAGATTGCCTCTGGAGGTTGTTCCAGATTTCCTCTGGAGGTTCCTCCAGATTTCTTATGGAGGATCCTCCAGATTTCCTCTGGAGGATCCTCCAGATTGCCTCTCGAGGTTCTTCAGAGTGCCTCTAGAGGTTCCTGCATCTGGAAGTTCCTACAGATTGCCTCCGGAGGTTTATTCAGATTGCCTCTGGTAGTTACTCCAGTTTGCATCTGGAAGTTCCTCCAGATTGCCTCTGGAGGTTCCTACAGAATTCCTCTGGCGGTTCCTACAGATTGCCTCTGGAAGTTCCTTCAGATTTCCTTGAGGTTCCTCAAGAATGCTTTTAGAGGTTCCTTCTGGTTAACTATGGAGGATCCTCCAAATCGCCTCTGGGGGTCCTCCAGATTGCTTCTGGAGGTTGCTTCAGATTGCTTCTGGATGTTCCTCCAGATTGCCTTTGGAGGTTCCTCCAGATTGCCTCCGGAGGTTCCTCCAGTGCCTCTAGAGATTCCTAGAAATTTATACAGGATGCTTCAGGACGCTTCGGCAGATTGCTTTTGAAGTTTTATCCAGATTGCATCTGGAATTTCCCCCAGATTGCACCTGGAAGTTACTCCAGATTGCATCTCGAAGTTCCTCCAGATTGCATCTGGACGTTCCTCCAGACTTCCTCTGCAAGTTCCTTCAGATTTCCTTGAGGATCCTCAAGAATGATTTTAGAGGTTCCTTCTGGTTAGCTCTGGAAAATCCTCCAAATTGCTTCTGGAGGTTCCTCCAGATTGCCATTGGACGTTCCTCCAGATTGCCTCTGGAGGTTCCTCCAGATTGCCTCTTGAGGTCCCTCCAGATTGCCTCTGGAGGTCCCTCCAGATTGCCTCTGGAGGTCCCTCCAGATTGCCTCTGGAGGTCCCTCCAGATTGCCTCTGGAGGTCCCTCCAGATTGCCTCTGGAGGTTCCTCTAGATTGCTTCTAGAGGCTTTTGCACAATGTCTCTGGAGGTTTATTCAGAGTGCCTACAGAGGATCCTCCAGATTGCCTCTTGAGGTTTTTCAGAGAACCTCTAGAGGTTCCTAGAAATGTCTACTGGATACTACTCAATTTTCTCTTTGCACGTTCCGGTGAATTGCTTTTGAAGTTTCATCTAGAGGTTCTTCCAGTTTGCCTATGTAGGTTCTTTCTGGCTAACTCTAGAGGTGCCTATGGATGACTTCTAGAGGCTTTTTCACATTGCCTCTGAAGGTTTCTCTCGGAGTGCTTATAAAGGATCCTCCAGAGTGTATCCAGATAGTTCCTATAAATTTATACAGGATGCTTCTCAATTTTCCCTTTAGACGCTCCGACAGATTGCTTTTGAATTTTCATCCAGATTGCCTCTGGAGGTTTCTCCAGATTGCATCTGGCATTTCCTCCAGATTGCATCTTGAAGTTCCTCCATATTGCCTCTGGAGGTTCCATCAAATTTGCTATGGAGGTTCCTCAACAATGCTTTTAGAGGTTCCTTCTGATTAACTTTGGAGGATCCTCCAGATTGCTTCCGATGGTTCCTCCAGATTGTCTCTGAATATTTCTCCAGATTGTCTTTGGAGGTTTCACCAGATTGCCTCTGGAGATTCCTCCAGATTGCCTCTAGAGGTGCTTCCAGATTACTTATAGAGGCTTCTTCACATTGCCTCTGGAGATTTTTTTAGAGTGCCGATAGAGGATCCTCCAGATTGCCTCCGAGGTTCTCCAGAGTACCTCTACAGGTTCTTAGAAATTTCTACTGGATGCTTCTCAATTTTCCATTTGGCAGATTGCTTTTGAAGTTTCCATCAGATTGCTTCTGGAGGTTCCTCCATATTTCCTCTGCAAGTTCTTCCAGAATGCATCTGGCGGTTCATTCAGTTTTCTTCTGGAGGATCCTTCATTGGTGGTTCCTTCAGCTTCTATGTGGTTCTCCACATGGAGGTTTTGTAGACTCTGGAGGTATTTTTTAAAAGTTCATTCGAAGTTTCTTTCGAGGTTCCTCCAGATTTTCTGTCGAGGTTTGCCTTTGCCCAGTTGCTCAGAAGGATTTTCTAGAGTCATACTAGAGGTTTCTCAAAAAGTGCTTTGAGTCATAACAGAACTTATAAAAAATTGGAAAATTTTAAGTCGGAAAACTATCTTCTCTAATATAACACAGAGTGGCATACATAAGGCCGCAAATGTTCGATCAAAAACTTAATTTAATGCTCGAAATTGTTCGATTTTGGGCGGGACGAAGTTCGCCGGGTCTGCTAGTTTATCTTTGGATTGTCCATAATTCTGAAGACTAGATTTTAAGTTTATGCTTTTTAGCCGTAGGCTAGTTCATCTAAGAACCCCGCAGATTCCATTAACTCACAGAACATACAATATAACCTCCCCTTCCCGTTTCAGTGGTTCTCATCGAATGCACCCCACTCAGTTCGTTCGATTCCTATCCCACGAAGCTCTCGTCCAAGCTGGAAGAGAACAGCAACAAATCCACATATCTTAAGCGCGCAGGAGAGCTCCCATCCTCTCTTCCCTCCGGAGGGGGCATCTCCTCATCCAACAGCAATCCCAGCGGCAAGTCCGGCGGTCCGCAACCGTTCATATCTTCTCTGCCCCCAATGGCTGCCGCATCCAGTGGACTGCTGTCGAGTTCGAATACTTCTCCCGGAGGTGCCGTTCCCACGGTGAACAGTATCGTCATTCCGGAACCGCTGCCACAGGACGTAGATGACACATTCGCCAGCGGAAGCCTGGCTGGTACAGACTTTGGGCCGGATGTGACTAGAAACACGCGAAAGGATAGCGAGATGGAAGGTGCAGGCAGTTCGACGACGACAACATCTCCGGTTGATGAAAGTGGAATCGGGTCGACAACGACGGCGACGGCTGCGGTTATGGGTTCGGGACGCCTCAAGAAGAATGGGACGATATTCTCGCGGAATGATCAGAATATTACTACGCTGAAGCTGAAGAACTACAACCGGGGATTGGAGAAGGAGTAAGTTTGATAATTTATGGGGGTTGAGATCATTTACTAAAGTGTTCTAATTTTAGGGAGCTCAAGGCACCGCTTCGGATGCCGGACCGTGGTACTCGCTTGCTGGACACCCTGATGCTGACCGCCGTTGAGAACACAACGGAGCCCATGGAGCTGACCCCGGAGCATCAGACGGAGGTTGTTGAACCGGAAGAAGGCAGTGGCAACGCCACCGATGCGAACATTCCAGAGGACGTACCGTCCGAAAATGTGACATTCCCAGTGCAGTCTGGCGATCATCTGCAATCGCCGGTGTCCAGTGACAACATCAACAACAGCAGCATCAGTAGCTTTAGTACTAGTAGTAAGGAGGATAGTAGAAGTAGTAGCAGTAGTGAGCGGGAAATTCCCGATAGCCATAGTGATAGCGACGGCGCTGGCGGCTCGGTCAGTGCCAGCGATCGGCGAATAGGCAAGATCCTGTCGTCCGATTTCCGAGACTTTTTAAGCAGTGGCAGCCAGCCGAATGCGAGCAGTTACATATCGCGGGCGATAGCTTTCTCCACGCAGGACCTACAGGAGGGAATTGACGACCAGGACCACCCGCTGGAGGAGGACGACTACCGGCGAAGCTCGCGCAGTCAACAGCGGCTGAACGTCGGGGCCATCTCCGGGATATGTCTGGCATCGCTTGGTCTGCTCTCGGGTATCTCCGCTGCACTGATCATCCTCTACCGGAGGTATCTCTATCTGAACAAACCGCAAGCGCTCAGCGAACCGGACTCCAGCGGGTACATCGATGACAGCACGATCCGGGACAACTCGGACGAGATGTACAGCTTGGATAATGATTCGTTTCTGAACTCGCTGGAGGCGATGACCATTCAGAACTACTGGACCGACAGCGTCAAGCATACGAAGCTGTAGATGGGGCCCAAGGGCAGGGGAAAGCAACTGTGAACGTTTTTAGTTTAATGGTTTTACACACATGGACTACCAACGTAAATTGAATTATTTTTTTAGGTTAGAAACTATTGATTACAATCATACCGTCGCATGCCGTCCCTTAGTATGAATGATAGTACGTTTTATTATGATTGAGTATTACGACTAGGTAACAAAGCATTCCCTTACATATCGTTACTCGGTTTTAGAGTAGTGCTATACAGTGTATTTTGTTCCAGTAAGTTCCTTAGTTGCAGCATTCCAAATACTTTTACTTCTTATGATCTACGCGCGGAAAGTATATTTAACCGAAAAAAAAGGTCGGAGAGCAGCTACTCATTCTTGAACATTGTGATTGCCGAAATGTAGCTGCAAAATGGGGGAAAAGAAAGAGATGGTATTATATTTATTAAAGTGGAATCGAACAGATTTGGGAAAACATTTATTGTTTCTTTGGTGAAATACGTATTGCGTCTATTGAGGTTCAAATTCTACAGAGTTAAGAAATCATATTCGAGAGGAAATCAAAGTACTTAATGTTAAGTGAGTAGCTTTAGTCGTTAAGCAACCCCAACCAGTGTGGACGAACTTGGCAGCAACAAGACAAAGAGGATGACGTCAAAGGCAATTGTACAACTTTTCCGATTACAATATTTTGTGAATAAATATGATACATTGGAAAAATGGAATCTATAGATTTGGTGAAAGAAATTTTTCCTTTAACATTAAACGTTCGTTAAACAAAAACATGTTCAGCTGTTCTTATCATCCAATACGAAATATGAATGCAGTTATTAACGAAAGAGAGAGAGAGAGAGTCGATGAAGAGAATCGATCAGTGAACTTTGGTCTATTTCCTCTTAGGTCTATTTGAAAAGTGACGCGAGATTTGTCTTACTAGGAAATCTAATTCAGATGCACATTATAGTCGCTATATGTATAGTCTGGCGGACAGAAATTCCATATAGCAAGAAATGGAACCAATTCAAGATAATGAAGACCAACAAATGGAAAGGGACTCTAATGTTATAAACAAAACTAAGAAAGTCCATTCCTTGCCAACCGAATGCAAATTAAAAGCATCTAGAATAGGGAAAACTTTCCCCAAGCCAATTCAAGCTAAATAATACATTAGGTCCTAAGTAACTTTGACAGATTCTCTTCGTCGACTTTCTCTTTACATCCTCGCGGCCGTGTTAAGACATTCCTAGCTATTTTTAGCACACAGATCGACGAAAGAAGCTTTTATCTAGCTTCAAATACTACAAACACGACAAGAAATGGTTCTGTACCTAAGCTATTAACGAAAAAGAAAGCCGATGAAGAGAATCGATCAATGTTACTTAGGACCGTATGCATTGTTCGGCTTTAATTATGGTGTTGTTTTGCGTAGGCGAGCTTTGAATCGCGAGAAAAGTGTTTCCGGAATTGCGGTCGCAAAACCTTATATGCTCTTTTAAATTGCTGATCGTGATCTGTTCGATTGGTTCCGATAGCTCAATTGGGGTCCCGAAATTCTACTCTGTAAATATAGCAGCTGGAATGTTCATTGGTGCATTTTACTACTGATTCTTCTTCTTCTTCTTCCTCGCATTTCAAGCTTATTGCATATCTTATTGCGTGCTCTCAACTTAGTGTTCTAGATGCACTTCCACAGTTATTAATTGAGAGCTTTCGATTCCTGTACCATTTTTGCATTAGTATAATTATTGTGTGGCAAGTCCAATCATACTTCTAAGCCCAGGGAAGTCGAGACATTTTCCAACCCGAAAAATTCCTAGACCGGACCGGGAATTGAACCCAGCCACCTCCAGCATGGTCTTGCTTTGTAGCTGTGCCTTTACCGACTGAACTAAGGGAGGCCCCTACTACTGATATGACATTTGAAAAAAGTTCAATCCGCATGATCTAATCGCAGTCAAACGTGACTCTCAAATTAATTTCCCTTAAATAATGTCACGGAACTCACTAACGACATCTCGCTAGCTATTGGCGGAAAAAAAGTTTGCTTGCTTGTTCGATAGAATGGTTATACTTAAATTGAACTAGAAATAGTTACGTCGGTTTGTCTGTGATTGAATTGTGCATCGAAAAAACTCGTAAAAATATGTATCCTTCTCGAAAATACCACAGTATATCTAACAATCAACCACAATAATTAAACTGCCATCAGAGAGAGCCACTTGTTTCCAATTGGTAGTGACACCTATATCTCGATAAGTAAAGCGCACGACGCCATCTGGTTGTATATATAGTTAGGGCATGCAGTGCCACCTTATGGTGAATTACATGTTATTTCGGAAGATGGCACTTTTCATGATATTTTATAAACTTAAAACAAAACTTACTCAAGGAGTGAGTCACTTTAACTCATTCGTATACGCCATTTTAATAGAAACTTAGCGATCGATTCAGCCTCTGGTGATGAATAGGATAACGTCGAGAAGAGTGTTGTGAGCAGAATTTGTTGCCGTGAGACATAGGAAGTGGAACACTTTTTAACTTTCCCTCATAAATAGATTCATCTGAGATGCTCCAAAACTTGATCTACAGTCGAAATATTTGCAGACGCCGGTGGTGTAGTGGTATGCGTGACTACTTTTCTCACCCCAATGGTTCTGGGTTCAAACCCAGCCGAGGTCAGTGGGATTTTTCTGAGGCATAAAATTCTCTGGTCACGTCAATGGATGTCCCTTCGGTGATTGGCACTAGATTGCGGAACAGAGACCGACGTTAAATAAAGGAACACGGAGAACAAATTCGTTAAGTTAAGATAACAATTCTAATAGTTACTTTCACATGGAAAAATGTTGTTGTTTGAAAGAAACCTATAGTTATTCTAACATTAATTTGACCGTCAACTCAATCATATCTACCTAATAGATTCAACTATTCATCTTATACTCAATTCAACTATAACTTTGATCAATTATAACAACCGTCAAATGTAATTTATTTATATAATTTGGTTTCACTTGATCATCATAAATCCACATAATTTTAACTTGTGATGCGTAGAGCAGGCGATAAGATAGCTGGCTCTCACGCAGATGAACACGGTTCAAATCAAAGCTGAATGTTCTCGTTCACTTTTTTATGATTTTGCAGTTGTGTTTTTGAGATCAATAAAGAAGGAAATCAAACTTCCTTAATATCTCGATAATGAAGAGCAGTTCGTTTGATAAAGATTGTAAAACTTTGCTTTCCTAACAAAAGTTTTCTTGAATCAACTAAAGCATAGTTTTGTATTTTGAAGTTTGACGTTTGTTCTACTGAAAAATATAGTTGAGCCAGGGGAGCCAACTATGGACTATAGTTGATGCTCTCTATATATAGTCAAATCAACTATAATTTCGGGTTATCTCTAAAACAATTGAACAATATAGTTATATAGAAAAATAATTGAGTCTGCTATAATTTGTTCTCCGTGAATGAAGTCGAAATATTTAATTTGGTATTAATTATATCATTTGAGTAGTAGCTATACTGAAGATCCGAGAGATGTCGCCCCTTCAGTGGTAGGAAAATCATTTTTGCAGTATGGAGAATATCAGAAAATCCACGATTTGTGATAAACATGCTTTCATAGAAGGAAACAAATAAACGAGTGTTTACCTTATCACCATAGTGCAATTTTTGTGCACCTAAAACTGCCCATAAAGACGATAATGAAAAAAAAAAACTGAAAATTTTCATGCATTTCCAAATGGTTTCCTAACGGTGCCGGTGGTGTAGTGGTAAGCGCGATTACCTCTCACCCCAGCAGGCCTGGGTTCAATCCCAGTCGGCGCCGCCGGGATGTTCTGAGGCATAACATCTCTGATCACGCCTTCCTTCGGATGGGAAGTAAAGCCGTTGGTCCCCGGTTCATGAGTTGATGGGTCGATAGGTAGGGTCCAGGTGTGGGAGCTGCCTTCCTGGCACGTCGGTAGCATTGGTGCTCAGCACGGAAAACAAGATCGACGGAAAAAACAAACCGAAGGAAAAAAAAAATGGTTTCCTACCATTCCCACACAGAGAACAGACATTGAGGCTCGAACAAAATTTCTCTAAAAACTTGTGTAAAGATTCCTATTTGACTTAAGCGCTACTAACGGTGACTTCCCCACTTAAAAACTCTCTTTGACATCCTGAAGACGCTGGAGTTGCACAAATGACACTAGACACTAAGTGCTGGTAGCGCCAAGTGGCAATTTTCAACAGAAACTTAACGTTACTAGCGCCAAATTGGGCGAAAGTGGAAAATTTATAGAGAAAATCAGGAGATGCTAACACCACATAACGGCGACGTTCCCACTTATTTTACACAAGTTTCTGACCGAACTTGAACGTCTGTTCTCTGTGATTTCCATACATTCGAAATGACTGGCCCTCTGGATGTGGATGATGTCAAAAAGAACAAAACATGATTAATTGGCGTCTTGCAGTGAAACTTTTCCAAGCTTTCGCCACCTATATTTCGAAGTGAGAACTACTAGAAGGAGGATAGCACAGACAAACAGACATAACTCTCACAAGTTGTTCATCGAACAAGCATTTAACGGACAATTTAAAAGTATCGTAGTTGGTAGTACCGCCACCTGCGGCGCGCATAGTCAATTCCCTTGCGTTTTACGTTTACACAGTACCACCACAAACGAAGTGACAGGCGGAGCGGCTCGAAAACTTTGGGGACTAACCTGCTATTGCAATTTTTCAGTGTACCACATGGCAACACCACTACTACTGGATTGTACCACATGGCAACACTACTACTGGATTGAACTAGCATTTTCACCAAATGTACTAGAATGTTTTGGTTCTATCTCTTTCACTCTACTCAAAACTGAAATGCATAAAAAAATGACAAAATGATACGCACTCTTTGCACACTGTCAAAGAATCATTGTACACAAAATCAACTTTGTGCAAAACCAAAACAAAAATACTATCCCATCTGGTGGATGATGGCAGAAGCTTCTAAGAAAATTCTATTACAGCGAACCACATTATTTTAATTGATTTCTTCGCCAGTTAGTCGTCTGTCACTTCGTTTGTGGTACCACCGTCTGTTCAGTGTAGTGCCCACCACAGTGTACTCAACAGATGGCGGTAATGTTTTAGCGACGATGTTTTACAGTGATAAATATTTAATGAGTTATGTCTGTTTGTCTGTGGAAAAACTAATAATTTCCGGTGGATACTTTTGCTTGAATCGTGTAAAAAAATGTGTTTGCAAACAAACTGTTATTATTTCGGTATGGATCGGAGATGTTTTCATGGCAAATTATGCATAACAAGTTTGCACCCACAGGGAGAGGTTACCTCCTGCGCAGCTGCATTTTTCGGAAAATGGTGAATATGTGCGATTTTCACTAAGATGATAGTGGAAATTAAGTGAATTTACTTAGGACAGGTTGTATCATGCTGATGGTAATAGAGAATTGGTTGTATAGGACGCCAATATTCAATTAATGTTCATTTTGTCCTTTTTTAAGCAGACATATTGATACTCACAATTTTCGACGGAAAACGCACCGGAACTTGATTTACTCAACACACACCATACTATAAAATGGTGCTAGATCGTCGTCAAAGTAATAACAAGATG